AGCCCTAGGAGGATGTAGAGGAAGCTGAAGACCACGTAAGGTGGCTTCCTCTGCAGCGCCTCGTCGCTCTGCAGCGCCACGAAGTCGCCGAAGCCGATGGTGGTGAGGGTGATGAAGCAGTAGTAGAAGGCGTGGAAGAAGGTCCAGCCTTCGAAGTGCGCGAAGGCCGTGGCCCCGAGGGCCAGGGTGGCCGCGCACACCATCAGCCCCGCCACCACCATGTTCTTGGTGGACACGCGCGGCCGCCGCAGGCCCAAGCGGCGCTTAGACGCCAGCAGGAGGCGCCGCACCAGTGCGTTCAATCGCTCGCCCAGGCTCTGGAAGGTGACCAGCGTCAGGGGGATGCCCAGGAGGGCATAGAACATGCAGAAGACCTTGCCTGAGTCCGTGCCCGGCGCAGCGTGGCCATACCCTGGATGGAGAGCGGAGGGAAGGGTTGGTGAGTCCTCGTCTCCATCTCACACTCTCACCCACTTCCTTCCCCGGGTCTCTCTCTCCATCCCCCAAAGCCGCCAGAGCATCTTCAAATGCTAGTTCTAACTAATCATTCCCTGGCTGTAAAGCCTTCCATGGTTACTCATAATCGCCCCAAATTGTAAACAACCCAAATGGCCTTCATCTGGGGAATGGATAAACAACCTGTGGTACATCCATGCAGTGGAATTTGTTTCAGCAATAGAAAGGCATTTACTACTGTTTCCTCGGCAACAAAGGATGGATCGCAGATGTCTTATGCTGAGTGAAAGAAGCCAAGCTCAAGAGGCTACATACTGCATGGTTCCATTTAAGTGACATTCTGGGAACAATCTGGCAAAACTATAGGGACAGAGAACAGATCTGTGGCTGCCAGTCCTTGGGGTTGGAGGAGGGGTTAACTAACTATAAAGTGGCATGACAGAATTTTGGAGAGTGATATAAATGTTTTATGTCTTGATTGTGGCTGCAGCTACAATGACAGGTTTTTATTTTTGGCAAAACCCACAGAAGTGTACACTGAAAAACTGAATTTTGCTGTATGTAAGTTGTGCATTGATAGAAAAAAAAAAGTAAAATCTTTCATGGCTCCCCAGGACCCCCAGGGTAAAGTCCCAGTTCTCAGGTGATGGATGTCCAAGCTCAACCCCCTCACCTCTCCAAGCCTTCCCCGGTGTTGTTTCCCCAACCATGCCCCTCCTCCTCATGCCTTTTCTCATGGCTCTCCCCGCACCCACAATGACCTTTTCCCCCTGCCCCAGTCCACATCTCCCTTCTCAGATCCTGCTCCAAGCCAGCTGTCACCAAACACCTCTTCAGTCTGGTGGAGTTCCTCACTCAGTCCCCTCAACTGTTGCAGGGGACATAAACATGAGTGGGCGTCCCTGAGTCTTGGCACACTGGGCCATCACCATGGAATTAGTGGATACGTGCCTGTTCCAGGATGAAGAAGTGAAAGCTTTCATGATATTCTCAAAGGGCCCCATAACCCAAGAAAAGTCAGGTGGTCCCTCCCCAGCAGAATATGCCTCCTCTAGCAAATTGGCCCCATCTGCCAAAAGGTAAATACACCTTTGGCCTATGCAGTTCCACAGTTAGGAAGGTAGTCTTCCAAAACACACACACACGTGCAAAGTGAGGTATATGCATGAGTTGTTGCAGCATTTCTGGTCATAGCAAAAATGAGAAAGAGCCTAAGTGTCCATCAGTAGGGGCCAGGTTAAATAAGCCATGGTGCTGTCTAAACGACGGAATACTCCACAGCTCTGGTTCCAGCTGGAGGTTCTTTTGCCCCTGAGGGGGCAGTTAGCAACATCTGGAGACATTTTTGGTTGGTAGAGCTGTGAAGTGGTGGCTGTGTGCTCCTGGAGTCTAGTGGGTAGAGGCCAGGGTCCTGCTTAACCTCCTGTGATGCACAAGACAGCCCCCACCCCAAGCAAGAGTATCTGGTCCAAAATGTTGGCAGTGCTGGGAGTTGAGAAGCCCTGCTGTTCAGCCAGGGAAACGAGGACACAGTTCTTCAAGGATTGATATAAAAAAACACCAAAATATACGAAGTGAAAAAAGCAAAAGCATGTATAATATAATGTCTATATAGGTGTGTGTTTTAAAGGATTGTATTGGCAGAGAATATAGTCAGAAGGGTACTCAGAAAACAGATCATTGCAGTTGATCCAGGGAAAGGAATTCATGCGTTGAGGGGCGAGGTGAGAGGCAGACTTCTTTTTCATCCCGTGCCTTTTCTACCCTGTGAAGTGTGTACTGTCTGCATACATAACATTTGAAACAGCAGCGCAATATATATATTTATAGATCTGACTCCACTTCCATTTTTCTATTTCATTGTCCTATCAGTCTGCCTCTATCTATTACTGAGGGGTGGGGAGGGTCTCTGCCAACCACTAGACTATGAGGTCCTTGAGGCTAGAGACCATGCCGGTCTTTTCTCTGTGTCCCTCGTCACCAGTGCTCTGTACAGAGCCTGACACAGACCAAGGACTGAATGAAAGTTTAATAATCAATAATCAAGCCAAACTGAAAGCAGAGCTGAGTGTGAGACAGAGAAGCCTCTTTAGGAATAAGGGGTCAGGCAGTGCTGTTTCCAGCTGTTTGGGGCTATGTCAGGTTTTGACAGAAAGGAAAAATGAATAATGATGATAACTAAACATGCTAGGTACTCTACATGGATTATTTTTTTTTGTCCCAGTGACTGGATGAGATGATATTATCATCCCCATTTTACAGATAAGGAAACCAGGTTTAGAAGGAGGAAGCTGCCCAAAGGTCACAGGGCTGAGCTATTAAGCACTATCCTCCATAGCTTCTCAGTAACTCTCTCCTGTCTATGCAGAGCTCAACTCCTGGGTTCTGGCGCCTGGTTCTCTGCAAGGCTGGCTGATGCAGCCTGGACCACACGGCAAATGCTGGCGCCCCCAGGTGGCCATGAAAGGCAAAATGCTTGCTGTTTCCACTCAAGTCTCTTTTCACAGGATCCCAGATGCAGATCAGAGAGAAGCAGTCTGGAGGGGACGCCAAACCTAGCTGGGAGGCCTCCAAAAAATGTGGAGGAGGGCAGAGGAGGTGGATAGGGTCCCACACCACCGGGCACAGTGACAGGGAGGGTCTTAGGCTGAGCCAAGATAGGGAAGCAGGTGGCCCATGTTGACAGGAGGGGTCAAAAGGGCTGAATGGGAGCTGGGCCCACAGTTGGCAAATAATGAACAGCACATTTTACACACTTGACCTCACTTAAACCTGGCAGTCTCCCAGTGAGGTAGCAACAACTGCATTTTGTAGTTGAGGAAACCAGGGCTCAGAGAGGTACAATCAAATGCCAGAGACGGCAGGAGGCAATAGAGATGAGAACTGAACTCTGGTCTATGTAATTGTAGAACTCAGGCTTTTGACTACACTGCTGAACCCACAAAGTCACACTGACTTGCAAGAGCATCCCGGAGGAGCTTTCTCCAAGGTGCTAGCTTCCGGGGTCGTGGTCCAAGCCCAGATTGGCACCTGGACATCTATAGCTGGGGCCTGGGGAGTGGCTGGCACCCAGCGTGGAGCCCTGTAGAACCTGCTTCTCTCCTTTTCTGCTTCCCCAGGCTGAGGCTTAGCAGGTACCAGCCAGACGGTAGCCATGGCAACGGCTGGCAGGCCAGATGCTGCAGAGGAAGTGCTCTGGATCCCCGAGGGTGAGGTCCAAAGCTGGTGGTAATCAGTCATTCCTTCAACAAATATTTATTGAGTTTCTACTACAGGCTAGGCACTGGCCATCCCACAGTGACTAAGATAGACTAGGTGCTCGTTCTCTTTGTTACAATACAAAAATCAATCTTTTTTTTTTTAGTGCTTTCTAGGTCCTGTATCAGACCCTGTGCTGAAACTTTCTGCATATATTATCTCCTTGATGATAATTGCCCCACCACAGCCTTGAGATAGGGTCTGTTAGCACCCCTATTGTACAGAGGTGACAACTCGGGCTCAGAGAGGTTAAGCAACTGGTCTGAGGTCACACAGCTAGCGTGTTGCAGCCAGGCAAGGAAACAGCTCCAGCCACTTGGGCTTCTGGCCCCACTCCATCCGTCTCCCCCTGGGGCGTTTCTGACAGTCCCACGGGCCAGCTTCTTGGCAAACGGGACCTACTGGCTCCTCCCAGGCTTGCCTGCGCGGAAGCATAGAGCGCATTCGACAAAGGGAAGCGAGCTGAAATGACTGGTCCAAAGTCATCCAGCTGATCAGGGGCAGAGATGGGATTCAAACCCAGGGGCGCCTCAGGCGGCTGGGGATGGAGCGAGCGCCGAGGGGAGTCGCCGGGGCCGCTCACCGATGGTGGTGATGACGGTGATGGCGAAGTAGAAGGAGCCGGCGAACTTCCACTGGCGGCCGGCGCGGTGCGGCTCGGCTTGCAGCGCCAGGCGCTCCAGCTCGCGGTAGTCCTCGGCGGAGAAGCCGTACTTCCTCCGCAACTCACTCCGCTTCTGGGCCAGCAGCAGCTTGCGGCCGCTCTCTGCCTCGGACTCGAGCGCGTCGAAGACCGCGGCGCCCACCAGCAGGTAGGACAGGATGCACAGGATGAGCGCGGCGGTGCGCACACTCTGCTT